TGGGTCAGGCCCTGGGCAGGGAGGAGGAGGTCGAGGTGGTGGCCAGGCATGAAGCCCAGGTGAGCAGAGAGGCCATGGTGGCTGCCAGCGAGGCAACAAGGGCCATCATGGTGAGACAGCGGGTGGAGGCGTCCCTGGGGCTGCTGGAGCGCTTGGTGGCCGCGTGTGACGAAGCCACTGCCTTACCCCGGGAGCTGCAGCGCAGGGTTGGGGACATCAAGGCCGCCCTGATATGGACAAATGAGGGATTCTTTGATATCCTCGAGGACTGGGTGGCCAAGGGGGCCGAAGCCGAGCAGCTGTGGGAGGCCAACGCCCGCCTGGCCAAGGATCACCTGCTGGGGGCAGTTCCAGACACCATCCAGTTGTTCACTGGTGGTCGCACCAGCCCCAGTGCCTGTGGGGTGGCCGAGAGGTGCCAATGAGCCACCGAGGACATCCCAAGGCTCCTTCGACCCCCGGAGTGTCCCCAGAGTGTCCCTAGTGAGCCTGGAGCTCCAAAATGTGTGATGGGGGGCGAGAGAGATGGGGACAGAGGGGACACTGTGGGGAGGGGGCAATGGAGGATGGAGGGGATATGAGGGGTGGCTGGAGGGGAGAGGCGGTCGCAAAGGGGACTGGAGGGAGGGGCAGGAAGGGAGGAGGTGACAGAGGCATGGAGGGGAAAGGGGGACAGTGGAGCAGTGGGGGATGGGGATGACGGGGGGAGGACGGACACAGGGGCTGGGAGGCTGTGGCAGAAGGGACAGCGGGGGATGGCAGGGGCTAGAACTGTGCTGGTAGTGGTGGCTGAGGGAACAGTGGGGAGGGTGGCAGAGGGTGGCAGAGGGGAGGAGGGCATGGCGCTGGGACAGGGGACAGCAGAGCCCTCCAGGGAGGGGACACCATGAGGGCACAGGCATCACCGAAAGAGGGCCACAAATGCCTCCAGGTCCCTGACACCTCCCCTGTCCCCTCCCCAGGTGTCCCCTCCTCAGCTGCTGGAGGCTCTGGTGTCTGTGGTGGCCACCCTGGGTGACGTGGTGGCCACTGTGACTGGGCCACGCCAGGGCGTGCGGTGCTGTGTGCCCCCAAAGTCCCTGCATGTGGCCCTGAGGATCTTCACCTGGAGCCTCTGTAAGGGCCTGGAACACCCCGGTGTCACCTCCCTGGGCCAGCCCCTGGCCACCCTCGGGGCCACCCCGAGGGCCACCTGGGCCAATGTGAGAGCCACGGGCAGCACCTGGTGGGAGTTGGTGTCTGCACTTGAGAAGAGCTGGGACCAGGTGGCCAGGGAGGCCACTGAGCTCCGTGACACCTGCGAGAACACAGCCCCTGCCCGGACCAGGGACCCACAGGACAAGGCCACCCACAGGGGGACAGCTGAGGACAACCTGGCAGCCACAGCCCACCAGCTCATGGTGGCCCTGGACAGGGATGGGGAGGCCTCAGTGGGGGCCACACGTGATGCCCAGATGGCAATGGCCCCCAGCGAGGCCATGGAAGAGAATATGGTGGCCACCAGGCGGGCGAGGGCAGCCATCAGGAGGAGACCTTGGGCAGAGGTGGCCCTGGAGTCGCTGCAGCGCTTGGTGGCCACCTGTGACAGAGCCAGGTTGTTCCTCTCGGAACTGCAGTGCGGGCTTGGGGAAGTCAAGGCTGCCCTGGAGGGGACAAATGATGCATCCCCCGATGTCCCTGAGGCCTTGGTGGCTGTGGTGGCCAAGTTTGAGCAGCTGTGGGAGGCCAGCGCCCACCTGTTCAAGCATCACCTGCTGGGGACACTTGGGGACATCCATGACCTCCTCTTGAGTCCCTATGATGGCCGCGGTGGCCCCAATGGCCCTGGCATCCGTGCGGTGGCCGAGCGGTGCCAAAAAGCCATCGAGGACATCCCGAGGCTGCTGCAGAGACAGTGATGTCACCACTGTGATGTCATCATGGCAGTGACATCATTGGGGACATGGCTGCTGTCACCTGTGCCCTCCCCGTGCAGTATTTGAGATAAATCTGGGGAATTTTCATTGAAATTGCCCCAATCCTCATGGGAATTCCTGGATTGACATCTCTGGGGACACTCAGGGGACACTCAGGGACAGTCTGGGGACACTCAGGGACACTTGGGACACTCAGAGATACTCAGGGACACACTGATGACACTCAGGGACAGGGACAGGGTTGAATGAGTCCCCTCAGCAGCTTCCAGGTTTCCACTGTGCCCGCAGATCAGCTGGATCATAAATGACAATTTAATAATTGCCTTTTGCATTTTTTGATTTCCTTTTGCACATTGTTATTAATCACAAACAATTTGATACGGTATTTGATACTGATATTGATTATCGGTGATTCCTTGTAGCTGCTGGTTGTTGCAATATAATCTGTTAGTTCATGTGTGCACCGTACAGCCTGTAAGTTAATTAATTAACTAAATAATTAATAATATCGTCTATATAAATCAGACCAGGCTCATCTGAACTCTGTGTCAGACACATCACTGACCCCATTGAGAGTCAAGTGGTCAATAAATCCATCCCAAACTTCCTTGGGGGGAGCACAGCCAGGGAGCTGCTTCAAGGCGCTGTCACTGAGATATTTCCCCTTGGAAACCCTGGATGGGATGACAATACACCTGAGCAGATGGCAAAATTAAAATGATACCGAACCCTTGAGGAAGGGATCCAACAGCTGAGAGAAGTGGCAGTATTGGAGGTACTCTTTGGGAGGGATGGACAGCATGGAAATGACCCCAACAAGGTCAGGTGCACAGGGAAAATGTTGTGGGATCTGGCAGATCTGGGGCCATCTCAATGCACCACCTTCATTGCAATGACTGATGCTGACACCAACCGAGAGGCAGTGGGCTGTCACCAACAAGCTTAGAAATTGTGAAAAACGCGTATTTTATGATTGGCTTTTGGCAAATACTAAAATGAATATTATATGTGTTATGTTAGAACGTGATGCTATATTAATTTTTTTAAGCAGGGTGCTAAATATAGTTTTAGATTATAACATAATGTTAAAATTGAAACTAGGCTACGTAAGATACTTTTTTCAAAAGGGACAAATAAGGCACTTTGACTGAGATAACAGCCTCAGGACACCTAAATCTTTCAGAGAAAAAGAATTTATTGCTCCCTTATCAGAAGAAACCAACTTCTTCCTGCCTCACTCAGCCCTGAAGCCAGGATTCAGAGAAAGTAGTTGACACTGACCAGGCAGAATCCTTTGTTTGAATGGAATTTATGCATCACGTAGGAGATGTATGATTATGCAACAGGCTATTGCTTTTAAGCTTTTAAGGATTAATCTTCTGTTACTGGGTGTCCCTTTTTTGGGCTTATTCTGCCCAGAAAGAGGTACCTGGACTCTTCATAACTCTTTATTTTTATTGTCTCGTATTGTCCTAATCCCAATATTCCAAATTTTCATTACTTTTTAAATCCCAATTTTCAAATTTTTATTACCGATTGTATTACTATTTTTATAATCATTTTATTACTATTAAACTTTTAAAATTCTAAAAACAAGTGATTGGTGTTTTTCACGGATATTATGAGAGTATGATCAGTGGCCCCATGCAGGCTCATGTCTCTGCCATGGTCATGGAACTCAAAGAGGAGATGAGGGAGATGAGGGAGGAGGTGAGGAAGATCAATGCAGCACCCGTGCGAGTCACAGGCCCCACAGTCAGAGCCCAACGTCCCCCAGCCCAACAGAGAGGGTGCACCCCACGGGCTGACCTGTGGTTCTGTCTGTGTGACCATGGGGGAGACACGGGAAGGTGGGATGGGAAACCCACTTGTGTTGGGAAGGATGAAAGTTTGACAGGAAAGTCTCACAGGTGTGTGTGCTGGGCAGAAAGATTTTTGAATGGAGAATCTGAAGAAGGAATAGAGATGGAAGCAAGTTTTGATATAGAAGAAAAGAATTGCTGAGCCAGTCTCACTGGATAACCAAGGAGGCAAAGGGTGTGTTAGTTAGAAGGGGTTTTTATGGCTTAGAGCAAAGGATAAACCCACCACAAACAAGATGTTTTTACCAAACAGAAAGATGGCACAGGCAAACAAGCCTGCCGATGTTGCAAGCAGAAAAAAGGTCTCAGAATTTTCCACTGCAAGAGAACTGAAAAACATCTTCTAGCTTGAACTGTAATTTACTAACTTTTAGTGATTGGAAAACAGTAACATGAATACGGTAATTATAGCAGTTATGATAGGCTATAGGTAAAAGAGAAGTTATAGTTTGGTTCTGCTGTATTAAGATGCTCAGCAAAGAAAAGTATATAATGCAATGTAACCAAAACCAAAGGGTCTCCAGGCCTGCCTGCAGCTGGCAGCAGACAGCTGTAGACACCGGATCTGTCACCCATGACCCTGGACTGCTGTAACACCTTTGATACAATAAACTCCATTTTGAAGAGCCGCATGGAGTCCCACATCCCTCATTTAGGCTCTTACGGTGGCACCCAACGTGGGGCGCCCTTAGTAAGAGCCTGATTAAGGGATGTGTGCCTCCAGGCCTGCCTGCAGCTGGAGCTGACAGCTGTAGGCACAGGCTCTGTCACCCATGACCCTGGACTGCTGTAACACCTTTGATACAATAAACTCCATTTTGAAGAGCCGCATGGAGTCCCACATCTCTCATTTAGGCTCTTGCAGTGGTGCCCAAAGTGGGGCGCCACCATTGGTAAAAGCCTGAGTGAGGGGTGTGGGTCTCCAGGCCTGCCTGCAGCTGGAGCTGACAGATGTAGACACAGGATCTGTCACCCACGACCCTGGACTGCTGTAACATATTGGATGTAATAAACTGCATTTTGAACAGCTGCCTGGGGTCCCGCATCCCTCATTTAGGCTCTTACACCTCCTCATCCACATCTGAGACAGAAGGGTCCCCCTGGGAAGTCCGAGAGCTACAAAACCCAGAACTCCGCCAAGTCGCGTCAAACTTTTTCCACTGCACCAGCAGTGATGCCACGAGTATCGTGCAATCATCAAAAAGCGCTTGGCCTCCCACGAGAGGCCATGCCGCCCCAGAGAATGCCTCTGCAGGGTTAGAAAAAAACCCTTGCTCTCTGGCCCACAGAAATAATCTTTCAAAATCACTCCAGGAAACAGAAACCCATTTCCGCTCCCTGAGACCCTTCCAGAGGTCCAAAACCAGAGAATCCTCCATGAAACCCACAGGATTTGCCGTTATCTCAAGAGCTGCAGGCAAAGTGCCAAAGGGCTCACAGTCACCAGCAAGGAGGGGGAGTAAAACGATATGACCTCACCCCTGGCTGTTCCACACAGGGCGGCCACCAGATGTCGCTACAGGACAGGAAATAACACGATGTGGACACGCTACTGTCCCAAGGTAAAAAAGAGCCCTTTTAATTTCTGACTCCAACATTTACAGATTTCCAAAAGTGGCAGTGGATTGGAGGGTGAAAGTGCCACCTCTCCAATGACACTGAACAAACCAGCAGTCCATCAAATTTCTCCTCCTCCTCCATAACAGAATGCAAAATAATAAGGTATTTACATAAACTGTGTGAGAAAGTTCCTTACAAGAATGTAAACATCGGAAGGCTTAGACAAACTTAAAAAAAACAGGGCGATAGGACTTTTTTTTTTTCCTTATCTCCTATTAATGAGCCCATCAGTGCCTTGCCCCATGACTCAGAGATAACTCCCTCCAGGAGCCATTTCTGTTGGATGGGTAATCAAGGACCAATCATGACTCGGAACGATATCAGCCTGTTGTGGTGTGTTTGTTTTACTCTCCCTTTGCTTGATTTGTTCTCCCTTTGTTTGAAGTTGGAATGCTCTGTTCCTCCCCATGTTGTAAGGGCTCTGCCCAGGTTCTCCCTCCTCTCTGTGGAGAGTTAGGGACATGCGTGCGGAAGATTTCAGGCTGTACGGTCAGTCAGGATAGCCCACCCCTGCAGTCAGACCTTTGCTCCGTTCCTGGCCACACCCAGCCGGACGTGAGCAGAAGGAAATGACACTGCCCAAGCTATAAAGGACCCCTGTGACCCCTCAATAAACGCCATTTGCTGTCCACCACGTTGGTGTCAGGAGCATATGGACCGAGTGACCCTGGGCTTTGGGCCACCGTGCCGGACTAAGAACCAGGTGTCGCCACGCCTTGAAGGCAACACCTCTCCCAGTTAAATGTCAATCTTTCTGGTCCCCATGGCGCCAAATGTATCCAGTTCTACTCCTCCCCGGTTACCCTGACAACTCAATGTATCCTTTCCCCTACTCCTCCCCAGGGCCCTGCCAGTCACTCCCTGCTCACTCCCTTTTCTCCAGAAGCTTCTCTCCAGGGTTTGAAGTGATTGGGCCGGGAACTGGGGTCCCTCCTTTAAGCTGTACCCATTGATCTCCTGTGTATGTCAATCTCTTGTACCCCTTTCCCCCCTGGATTCCCATTGGTCTCTGTGCCGGTTCCACCCCTACCACCCACCCACTCCCGTTATAACCACATGTATCAACTGTCAAATGCTCTTGGTTTTGATGGCTCCCCTGGATACCATTAAAGCCGGACTTTGCCCCAAAACGGAGAGGGCTCTTTATTCCTGTTCATCGCAGCAATTCCGGGTCTCGTCAGCACCTGGCAGCACCTACAGCCATAGCGCTGGGTGTCAGCTTGAGGCGCTCTCCCGAAGCCAAGCTATCGGGACAAATGCCCCTCCGTGCTGCTAGCGGTTGCTGGCCGGCTAGCCTGGGCAATTGACACTAACCCCACTGCCGCAGCGCTGCAATCAGCCCATGGGGAGATGCTCTGCCCAGGGGGGAGGAGCTCAGCATCCCCACCTGGATACAATCTGGGCTTTGGGACAGAACAGGCAGCCCTTACCCACTGGTTTCCAGAGGACAAGAGCTGCCAGATCTTTTCTATGGGATCACCACTTCAACAAGACCATTTCATCTGGACTGCCACCACCACCCTAACTAGCAGGGTGTCCAGTTGCATTCTGACTCTATCAGTGGTTTCATTTTGTACTATTGCATGTATTTTTGGTTTTTTTCCCTTTTCCTAATAAATTTTTTTCTGGCTTGGAGGCTCTCACTGGTTTTGCTTTCTAACCAGAACATAATTTTGGCACCCAAAGTGGGGCAGCAAGGTTTTTTCTCAAGAACCTGGTTCCACTCGCTGGGTAATGCAGAAGGATGGGGAAACCCCTTGTGTACCACAAGGAGACCTATATTTAAGTGAGAACTGTGTATAAAGTTTCATTTTGCGTTATAGATATGTATAACTGTAACAGAGAATTGGTTTGGGTATAGATGGCAATAGGATAAGGGGTGGATTATGTCCTAGGTTAAAACATAAAGATTTATTCTATTCCCATCCTTAAGAGCTGTTCAGACGAGCAGAGGCATTGTTTTTTTCCTTATCTCCTGTGAATGGGCCCCTCAATGCCATGCCCCATGACTCAGAGGTAACTCCCTCCAGGAGCCATTTCTGTTGGATGGGCAATCAAGAACCAACCATGACTCAGAACGATATCAGCCCATTGGGAGATGCTCCGCCCAGGGGGGAGGAGCTCAGCACCCCCACCTGGATACAATCCAGGCTTTGGGACAGAACAGGCAGCCCTTACCCACTGGTTTCCAGAGGACAAGAGCTGCCAGATCTTTTCTACAGGATCCCCACTTCAGCAAGACCATTTCATCTGAACTGCTACCACCACCCTAACCAGCAGGGTGTCAGGTTGTATTCTGACTCTGTCAGTAGTTTTATTTTGTATTATTTCATGTCTTTTGGGGTTTTTTTCCCCTTTTTCCTAATAAATTGTATTTCTGACTTGGAGTCTCTCACTGCTTTTGCTTTCAAACCAGAACATAATTTAGGCACCCAATGTAGGGCACCAATGTTTTTGCTCAAGGACCTGGTTACTCTGGGTGGGTAATTGTGGAGAGCCTGGTTCAAACATGGCTTAAAGAGAGAGGCCATGAAGGTACTCAGCTAAGGGAAAAATAAAAGGCAGCTGTAAAGCAGCAGTTCCCAGGCTTGATTCTGTAAATAATTAGGTTCTCAGCCACCTTTTATATAAACAACAAGATTCTCAGACCGTCTTTTCAAAAACAGGCAAATATTCTGTCCTTGGCTGCTCTGGGAACAGATGGCTGTTCTGGGAACAGATATTAAGGTTTGGAGAACTTTGCATATCATGGTGAGAACACTGATCTTGGTTTCAGTGAACAAACCTCAGGTATTGTAAACAAAAGGAGGAGTTGAAGTTTTCTCTACAGCCTATCGGGAGCTCAGATTTTGCAATATGCATGAAGTGAATTAACACTGTTATAAAA